TGTGGAGTGAGAGATCTATAGTTGTTAACCTCAGATCAGGTACTGGTTTCCTTACATGGTGAGAAGGGGAATTCATTTACCCACTACTCTTACTACAGTAAGATTTCCCTCAAATAATTTTTTAACAAGTTTATCATGTAAATCAGATACCAAGAGACACGTGGAAGCAATAATCTGATGGAATTAAATTAAAGGTGGGCATGAACTGTTCATTTGGTGCCACACCCTCCTCCAGCAGGTGTCCACTTAGAGGCGGTGCCCAGAGGAGGTGGGGCAGGGAAGTTGGGACACTGGGTGCCTGCTGGAGGAGGCAGGGCATTGAACTGTGGAACACCTGTTTAGCCATAGGCCAAATAGCACGAACCACATGCCCATCTTTAAATGAAATCACTCACAAGAAATATGTAGCAGGGGAAATATACACAAATGTAAAGATCTTACACAAATATACATTTTATGAATAATAATATGTAGATTTTAAGACAAAATGAAAGGCGGTAAAAAGTAGATGGAGATAGTCCATACTTTTAGAAAGTTATCAGGGTAAGGCAATGGATAAGGGATGATTTTTTATTATTAACAAGATCACTGAGACAAGAAGCAGCTATGGTCCTCCCCTTACTCATTCATATCTTTGAATGTGCAGATTTACTTTCACTCCTATGAATTACTGCTTGCACCACTCACTCTCACAGAGAAAAGTGCAGGGGAAATATACACAAATGTAAAGATCTTACACAAATATACATTTTATGAAAAATAATACGTAGATTTTAAGACAAATACATGACTCTTCCATCAAAATGAACGGCGGTAAAAAGTAGATGGAGATAGTCTATACTTTCAGAACATTATCAGGGTAAGGCAAAGGATAAGGGATGATTTTTTATTATTAACAAGATCACTGAGAGAAGCAGCAGCTATGGTCCTCCCCTTACTTATCTTTGAATGTGCAGATTTACTTTCACTCCTATGAATTACTGCTTGCACCACTCACTCTCACAGAGAAAAGTATATTTGGGTGGCACTGTCAGGGCAAAACTTTAACATATTCCTGGGCAAAGAGCAAGAGCAAACAAGTTGTCATATACAGAAGTTGTTTGCAACAGTTAAGTAATACAGATAGATGGTTCCAGGGATCAAGATCACTTGTATGCTGTGACTGAAAGCAAAAATGGGAAAAGTCCAAACAAAGCAAATGTAGAAAATGGTGAACAATTATAACCCAGTCCTGAATATAGTGGTTAGACTGACTTCACAACCCTTCTGAACCCAAGTTAAGTTTCTGCCCTGTCTCTTACACTGGCTCTCATTCCACTGGAAAAATAAAAAAAAGGGGTTGTGAATCCCACTACCAGCAGGGAACTATAAAAATGTTTTAATAGCTTCTTACACCTGGATACCGATAACACTCAATGAATACTTTGGAATGGAATCCATGGGTGATACCAATAAGGCTCAAGCAAAAGGCAAAACCATTTCCCATTCTGTTTTAGAAAGCCACCAATCAACATGTTATTGCAGGCCATGCCTACTTTGCTAAGCAAACTGGTAGATACTGCCTCTGCTGAAACGCTACCTCAGTTAACCATGGTGATGGTAACTCAGGTGCACACACCAAAACACTGGCAGAGCTATCCTTAATTAAATGCATTAACTTTTAAAAAGAAAATCCTTGTTCCTAATAAGCAATGACCTATCCGTCATTGCCATTTATTCAAAATTTCAAACAAACAAACAAACATTTCCTTGGGACTTGAAGAAATGTCTGTATTTTGTTTTTTTAAACCATAGATTAAGTGTCTTTGAATAATCTTTAAATATATGCAAATATAAACAATGTAATCATAATAAGTACTATACTCAACAGTAAGAAAAAAGATTCCAGACTAAATTACCACTTAACATACGTTATCGCCACATCTGCAAGCCAGTATCCTTTCAAAAACAAACAAACATTTTATTGGAACCATGTTTGCCAAAAGTTTAGCAGGGAGAGATTAATTTCTAAAGTAATGTCAACAATCATTAAATTGTTGAAACTCATTGGCAGCGGCTACTGGTCTAGCAGCTTGGTGGTAGTAATCTAGCAATTATGGGCAATGCAGACATGATGAGGATTAAGAAAAAGAAGCCACGATTGTCATGCATTCATTGTGCTAACCATGGTTACTGGCAAGGTAAATAAAATATAAACATTTTGTCAAATACCTGGTTACATAGGACAGGATTTCTTCCCTTAAAATCATATTGCCCCAGACAAAGAATGACATTGGTTTGAAATCAGAGGGCAAAAATATTTTCACAAAAATGGCATCGCAGTGAACAAACACTGTCTAAAACCATGCCCCAGTTTGCTAGTGGAGTCTTGTCTTTCATCCCCTTGCACTGCCTTTGCCATCTGACAACACACATCTCTACCCACAATTCTCTCTTGCTCCCTGCCTCCTGCAGGCGCATGCACGCGCACACTGAGGCACAACACACTCGCGCTCTCCCTCTCCCTTCCTCTCAGGCTGGAGTGCTGAGGGTGGGGGAAGAGAGAGAGACAGACAGGAACGCACACACAAACACACACACACACACACACACCTTCTTCCCTCCAGAGAAGTCAACTTACCCACAAGTTACATTTCATTCAACATGAGGAGCCGTCCTCCTCCTCCTCCTCCTCCTCCTCCTCCTCTCCCCCTCCTTGCAGAGGTGGGGTTACTTCTCCCTCCCTCCTGTGGCAGGGGAAGGAAAAGGCCACAGACATCTGAAAACACTTCTAGGCAGAAACCATGTAGTGCAGAACAAAGAAAGCCAGGGCTACCTTAATCTCAGCACAAGGCAGCCAGGAGCTATTTCCAAGCTGGTTCTCTCCCTCTCTCCCTCTCTCTTTCTCTCCCCCCCCCCTCTGAGGGCATCCTGATCTCCCTCTCCCTCCCTCTCCCCCCCTCTCTTTTTCTTTGCCTGTCCAGCTACTGCACAACACACATCAATTATTCATCGCTCGTCTCCCGGTTTCCAGGCAAAACCAATCACAGATGGAGTCTTGCTAATAGGCTCATGCCGTACTTGCCAACAGGCTATTTGTGCTCCCAGCGACAACCCTCCAGAGACAATAATACAAAAAAAAATGGAGGGGGGGGAGAGGAGGGAGACAATCAGGTTCAGCTTTCGGACTTCACACGTCTACGCGGACAGACCTGAAACGAGCAAGAGGGCACCCAGTGGCGCCGGCAGGACATGGCTTGCAAAAAAGGGTGTGCGTGTGTGCAGCGGTTGCAAAATACATTTTTAAAAAATAAAATGGAAAAGAAGGCCCCTTCTACATCCCCTCCCCTGAAAGAACTGGGAAAAGACGGAGGGGGGAGAGGGCAGGGGGAGGGATATTAAAAAAAAGAAAGCCAAACTAGGAAATTTCTCACCTCAACTGCATGTTAGTGGTATTGATGGTTTCCTTGTGCTGTCTCTAGTGGTCCATCCCTTTTGCTCTCCCATTATACCCATCTGTCACTTACGTGCGCACGCACGCACACACACACTCTCACACAGACACAGATACACAAAAGCAGACACAGCCACTTTGCCAGAAGGGAGAGAGAAAGAGAAGACGGGGTGAAAGGGGGGGGGAGAGAGAATCCAGGGATCTCACATTTCAAACTTGCAAGGAGGGGTGGTGCTACGAATATCAGGACAAAGGCTTACTCTGTGGTACACAGCCAAGAAGCTAAAACAGCCCCCCCTCGGTCAATTAATCAGAAGCAACACTTGTTTGAGTGTGTCCAGCAAACCATTAGAGGCGCCGGGTCAAAAAGAAGCAGCAGCAGCAGCAGCAGCTTCTGTTTAGAGAAAAGCCGGTGGACGGAGGCTCCCCCTTCCCCAATTTAGAAATACTGTTGACTAAATCCATCAAACTAGTCATGCTAATTAAGCGTCCAGAGGAGGAAGGTTCTGCTTTTTGGGAGAAGGAGGCGACGTTGGTGGTTTCCTGCATGAAGGCGATCAACCCACAAAAAGGAAGGGGAGGAAGTGAACACACACCACCTGTACAAGGATATGGAATTCATATAGGCATAATTTTGGCACAATTCACTATCTGGAAGAACAAGACAAAGAAGGTTATTGCCATTTCATCAAGTGCTGTATTTGGATATAATGGTCGTGGTGGTGGGGGGGGTAGGTGGGTTTCGTGCCAATCATAATTTGGCTGTATTCATCACATTCAGCAGGTACACTGGGGAATAGTCAGTATTTATGCAAGCCTTTATGTAGTCAAAGCTGAGCAAAAACTACAAGCAAGAAGCAATTGCAACCTAATTATTTGGCCCTCATTCACACATGTCTGGAATCCTAACACAGGAAAGAATGAACACGTAGCTGCAAAGCCAAATTCATAGCAATTATGCCTTTCTCTGACCTAGATATCAGTCTTTCTACATCACATCTCTCCTTCTTACCCACTGCCCAAACCCAGAAGCAACTTGTGGGAGCATATCTGTGCTGTGAAATTATAAACACTGAGTGTAGAATAGGGCACTGAATTCAGATTCAGGAGAAATTTCGTTTCTTCAGCCTTATAGCCCTTTTGGTTCTAAAGATACTGCTTCATACTGTATCAAAAGTCTGGGAAAATATCAGGTCAGAGGGGGAGGCTACGGATGAGGCTCACTGCACAACATAGTTTTTTGCCAGGACGAACATAAACCATTCATGTTTACTTATTCCACACATTTAAAGTGTATCATCAAATTCAAGTTTAACGTTAAGAGTGAATTAGGAGAGAGAAGAGCATTCCACAACCTGCAAGCCGCCACAGAGAAGGTCCTCTCTCCTGTCCCTGTCAAATGTACCTATGATGAAAATGGGACCAAGAGAAGGGCCTCCTCTGAAGATCTTAGAGGCTGGGAGGACTCATATGGGGAGATATGGTCAGAAACAGGCCCAAGCCATATAAGGCTTCACAGGTCATAATAGCACTTTGAATTGCACATGGAAATTGACTTGAAGCCAATGCAGGTGCTACAGCAGGGGAGTTGTATGTTCCCTGTAACTGGCCCCAGGCATCAGTCTATTATCTGAACCCGCTTGAACCATCTTCAAAAGCAGCTCCACATAGAGTGTGGTACAACAATACAAGCAAGATAAACCTAAGGTATGTGTCACCATATCAAAATAGATAACAGAAGGAACAGACATGGTTTTCAGTGATAAATGCAGTCCTAGTCACCACTGAAGGCTCAGGGATGAATCCAGAAATACACCCAAACTGAGGACCCCATCCTCTCATCTGCCTTTTGATTGACCAAGAGCATCTCTGTCTTGTCTGGATTAAGTTTCAATTTGTTTGCCCAGACCATTTTCGATCCCAGACACTGGTTTAAAACCAAGACCAGTGGAACTGGATGGAAAGCTGAGAGCAGAGTTGAATCTCATCAACATAATGTCACAGAACTCCAAAACTCCAGACAACCTCTTCCAATGGTGTTATGTGTATATCAAATAGCACAGGAGACAAAACAGAACCTTGAGGGATATCAAAGGCTGATGGTCAGGGTGTCAAACAGGAGCCGTGCGGCAACACCGTCCCAAATTCTCCCCTCTCCAAAGGAATGGGATCACTGTAAAACAAGTCTCATTCCAGAGAGATGGTCTGGAATGATATCACAATCAATAATGAAAGCCCCTGTCAGGTCCAGCAGAACCAACAGAGACACACTTCCCTGTCTAGTTTCCAGCACAGGTCATTATCAAGGTGAACAAAAATGTTTCCATCCCATAGCCAGGTCAGAAGCCAGATTGAAATGGATGCATATAAACCATTTAGTCCAGGAATCACCACACATACCAGATTCTAGAACCTTGTCCCAAAACAGAATATTGGAGACTGGCCAACATTTGTTCAATACATGGGATTCAAGGAGGACTTATCCAACAAGGGTGTCATTGCTGCCACCTTTGGGCATGCTAGTACCCTACCTTGCTGGAGGAAGGCATTCACTAATTCCCTTATCCACTTTGGCAAAGATTCAGTTCCCCTTGGGCAAAGATTCAGTGTACACCTGGTAGCTTTCATCTCCCCAAAGATCCTGTTCATACCCTCAGGCTGCACCAAATGAATCACATCCATTTGCACTGGACAAGCAGGGGCCAAAATTACACCCACAAGAGCTGCATAAAACACAATATCCAAGAGAGTGTGAATCCAAGTGACTATGTGTGCAAAGTGCCATGCAAATTCCGCACAGCAGTTTCCTGAGTGGCTAGCACCTTATATCGGAGTGGGTGGGTGAAAATTCTTTGGGACAACTCTGCAGGCGCAATAGTGGCAGAGAAGAAAACTTCCATGGCTGCAGCCGCTGCCATGGAATAGGACTTTCAAGATGGAATGATGCTACTTTTTGGCATGCTCTTCCCATCTCCCAAACTGGACTCCAAAGCAAATCAGCCTCTTTACCCTCTCTCAGCAGAACAAATGACGTTGGCAATGCATAGCCAGCACCTAAACCTTGAAGGTAGTTGTGGTTATTCTCTTAAGCTACAATCAAGCCTATCATGGATACTGTGGATAATAAGTATGACATCAATGGGATTTTCTTCTGTGTCAACATAGTATAGATGTCCTGTAAAAGTTATGTGGAACATGACAGTGAAAATCTTGTTGCTTAATGTAACAAATTACACTAGAGGGATGTAGTGTGTCAATTCCTTCGTAGGTTCCATTGATTCAAATGGGTCTCTAACTTCAACTTCCTATGCTAAAGTTTAATCCACAGTTAGAGTAGGCCCATTTGAATCAATACAGAGGAACTGACTCACTATACTAAGCAACAGAATTTTGGCCAATGTGGTGTGAAGTAAATTCAGGTGCTTTGTCTAATTAGCAACATTTTCTTGCCAAGAAAAATCTTGCTGTTTGAGTGTCATAAAAGGGCATATTTATTCAATTCATTGTTATTTCAGTTGTTAATGTTGCTAATGCAGCAACCGCAGATTTTGCTTTTAGAAATGGAGGGAGATTTTCCTGAGCATTTACCCATTTTTTTTTAAATAGTGCAAGATAACACTACAGCTTCAGTAATAAGAAGCACAATTAATGAGTTTCCTAACTGGTAGTAACACTGCAGAAAATAACTTGATACCCAGGTAATGTCATGAGTAGCATAACATTCCTTTTTAAAAGCAACACTCCAAACTCTAGTTGAACTCTTATCCCAGTTATAAATTTAGGGTAGTATTACTGTAGGCCTATAGAGCTTGTCTGTGGTAGTAGAGCAGGACTGCATCTATCTTGCTGACCAGGCACATCTATTTCATGCTGCAGTTTGGACTCATAGAAGTTTGTTTCTCATGGACCTGCAAGAGAGGCAGAGGGTAGATCAACAGGGTGATCCTGTTTTCACACAGCCACAAACTTGACAGCATTATCCAAAGTTCTCCGTAATACCTTCACTATTCATACAGAGACAATACTGGCCTATCTTGCAAGATTATGATGGCAGGAAATATTAATGTGGTTCTACATGAGAAATACTTTAAGCAAATGTACTACCCTTTTTTTAGAGCAGTAGTTTTCAAGGTTCAGAGCCTTGAAAAACTTTCAAGTTTTTGCCCTAGAGTACAAATTTTGTGATTTTAAAAGTAATTGATCTGACAATACGTATATTAAAAGTTTTCAGCTACATACATACACCTTCCCTTTGGCTGAAATATTTCCTTCTACTGTACTATATTTACATTGCAAACGTTTGTTTCAAAAAGGAATTGAGCATTCCTGGATCAAAAAAATGGTCCCAGATTTTTGTTTAAGAGATGCTTATGTTTTCTATATGGAGAAAATAATTATAAATTACATAAACAGGAAGCCAGTGAGACATTCCCCCCCTCGTTGGGAGGAAAATGGCAGTTTAAGTTGTGGCCAACCATGAACCACCCTTTTCCTGAGAGAGCATCCTGTGGTAAAAAGCCACTTCCTTTCCAGGCACAAACCTTCTCAAAATCCACCAAGCCTCTGCACAAAGCAGCTGGCTGATTTCAATTAAAAATTGAAAAGGAAAAAAAAATGGCGAGGAGCTCTTTTTTTTCTTTTACACCCCTATGACTAATTAATTTAGAAAGATCTGTTGTTTCCCTGCAAATAGTTAAATGTGTGTCATATAATATTGTTGTTCTCTGGCAAAGACACTGAAAAAATGTAACAGTGTGACATCTTATAGATGTTTGCAGGACTCCTTCTGAGTAGTTCCACTTCACTCAAAAGGCTAGAATACACTAGTTATTTCCTGTGCCATTTCACTGCTCTCTTACTGTAACAAGAGTTTGCCCTCCCACCTACATACTTTCATATGTCGAGTTCAGACAGAACTAGAATGAGGTATAATTCTGGTCGTGATCCTGACAGAGAAACCATTCTCATCTAACTCAAAGAACTCATCTAACTACCCTGTTTCCCCTAAAGTAAGGCCTAACCTGAAAATGAGCCCCATTATGATTTTTTAGGATGCTCATAAGCCCTACCCCAAAAATAAGCCTAAGTTAAGTGAAACCCCACCCTCCACGATTATGCAGCAACCAGATGATGATGACATGGCTGTAAAATAAAAAATCCCCTGGAAATAAATCCTATTGTGTTTTTTGGAGCAAAAATTAATATAAGACCCTGTCTTATTTTCGGGAAAACATGGTATTTAATGGGGTCTCCATAGTCATAGTGATTAGGAACTATGTCTGCACAGGCATCTCCTCCCACCATAGTGGCCATCTGAACACAACTTCTTTATGATCACTGAAGGTAGTTTCCATATACAGATCCTCTTACACTGGAACAAAATGTACACTTGGGGGTTCCGCTGCAGATTAGTCAGAATGGGAAGTGTGGTCTTATTTTGCTAAGTTTTACATGTTTGTTTTTTCTTCATGTGTCTATGCGCCTTCGGAATGAGGCAAAATAAAGCAGATGGAAAAACAACTACTAGACACAATTTATCTTTTTGTCTTTCCGCACTTTTCACTTGTCAGTGCTAATAATGTTGTGCCAGTCTAGTTGTCACCTATTATCTCCTTCCCAAATTAAAAAAAGTTTATAATCCAGAAGACACCAATCTAAATGCTGCAAATCACTTGAGACCTGATCTTCAGCTAGTGCTCTTGCATTGCACAGAACTACACAAAGGAACTGGACGATCAGAGGAAACCAATTTTTCTATAATTTTAATCCCTGGCCAGTGTCAATATTGCATAAAAACCCCAGTCCCACTTTCCCAGGACTTTTACAACATTGGATGTCTGGTGGTTTTGTAGTTGTTGTTTAATCTTTTTTTGTAGTACACTTATCCTGTAGCCTTAGCACACAGGTTAGAAATCTGTGGACTAAACTGCAAAACCACAGCATCAATATTATTATGGGTGACCATTCTTCCCATCCCACACAGAGGTCCCTAAACAACTAAGTCAGCCAGCTAGCCAGCCTTCCAATAGCAGTTGCTCTAACCAAACTGAATCGAGACTTCGAATAAGAAAAACTGAAGGCTGGATCCACTGGAATCTCGTACTCATGAGTAACAGGTCTATGCTTTCAGCTGTCTCTTACTATTTCTACCAGCAACTGTGTTTGTAATAAATGAGATACCCAATGCATCCAGTTTCTACGCTGATACTTATCTTTTACCATTTTACTTTAAATGGCCCTTCCTTAACTTGCAATGCTATTTCATCCACTCTCCTGTGCAAAACTTCAGGACTTAATTTTAAAACTGTCTCCCCTTCTTTCTCTCTCTCTCTATTTTTTTTCTTTAAAGCAGAAGTTGTTTAGAGTAGACAAATCACTTATCTACAAATGATGTGCTTATTTCTCCTTTGACAAATTTTCTGCAGGTTTCTAATCCCACCATGCCACTTGAAATATCAGTTTCTGTGATGACATTTGAGTCACAGTTGTCACAGGGCATCAGGCACTGTAGTTAAATGGATTAAATCATCCTTCATAGTGCAGTGTGTTTTGGACAAGGAGTGGTTTATCATTGGTAGAAATTAATCATAACAGGTCTTTTACACCCCCTCCAGGGCAAATTCCCAATCATTTCCAAAGATTACTATGTTTAAGCCCCAATGACGGCTGTGTGTCAGATTACATCAGAGGAGAGGTTGTCTCACAGG